ATGATTGTATATAAGTTGAAATCATAAAATTTCAAGATCATGTCGTAGTTATTAAGGTGGGCAATTCTTGTTTGATTTAAGAAGATTATTGAAAATTAAACTACAACTTACAAATGACTGCATTTAAAGTAACAAGAACATAATTGAGATTAATATTTCTCACGTTGTAACTACACACATACACGTGTGTGAGACACATAATGTGAAAAGAAGAGAAAAAAATATGAGTCTCACGTATTTTTATGTGTATGTAAGAGATAAAATTATTTTCTATATGAAAAATATTAATCCGTAATATAATGACATTTATATTTTTCTTTATTTTTTATTGATATTTAGCACTTTTAAATTTATCACCAAGTACATGATTGAATTGATACAAGGTTATTTCAATTTAATTAGTGACTTTGAGTTCGAGTCTAATATATAATTGTGTTGAAAATTTAATAAGAAAAACTTTGTCACCCTTATAATCTTACCCGATTCAATTGGATTAGTTGATTAATCCACGAATCGGTGGAAAAATTTTAAGAAAAAGTAAATTACATTCAAAACATATTTCCAAATACTTTGCAAATGAGCAAATACAACTTGAAAGCCAAAAGCCAAAACACCATGTGAGCATCCAAGGCAAATAGCATAGTAAAAGTGATGTAAAGAAAAGCCAAAAATTTGTCCGAGGTGGAAAATGGTGTGGGGAGAGATGAGATGCATGGGTGAGCGTGTCAAAAAAGTTGCCATTTTGTCATGAGACAATCTTTTACCTCTCCATCTTTCGTTCCCAACTTTTATAGATGCTTTGCCCACCATATCTTCTCCGACACTTTCTTAAAAGTTTCCTTCAATATTTTGTTTTTAGTCTCTCTATCTCTCTCTTATTTTTCTTAGTCAGCTTAGATACAACGCTTTCTTCGTATCCCACACATTTTATTTTATCCCAAAACATAAAAAAGTAAGCACTCATATGATTGTCAAAGGTCACTAATTGTTGGCCCTCCGCAAAAATTTTTTAGAGTATACCCCGTTAATTTTATAGGTTTTTTATGGATTAATTCAGTGTTTGAAATAAGTTCAGAATTAAGATTTTAAATCTCTTCTAAAAATAATATTGAGAAGGATTATGCTCTCACACGTACTCAGCTCGCATGCCAAAACCCTTTCATGCATGCACAATATGCTCTTTCTCTCTAACACACACAGATACAGACATATTGGGTGGAGCTTTGGCTCCACATAGCTTTGCATTAAATGAGTTGGCTAGCTTCCAATTCAGGAATTCGCTTCCTTTTATCCAATGTTCTTCTATTAAAGCATCCTTTTTTTTCCTTGTGTAGTGTGGAAAATCAAATCTAGGTCAACCCACCTTCCATTCTGCTGTCCTTTTCGTTAATCATTTTTCTCAATGGATTTCCTCTTCATTTATCAAGGTTGGATTTCTTTTTTATATATGTAGTTCGAAACATGTTTACTTCCTTGGTCTATATGTCTTCGTAATTAATGAAATATTATTTTCCTCCATTCTTATTTATAAAAGCATATAAATATTCTCCAGAAAGTTAGAATTTTAATTTAATGATAAATTTTAAATTTTCAACAATTATGTAACTTTTGTGTTTTTGATAAGAAGTGTTATAAATTTAATAAAAAAAGTAGTAAATTTTTACAGTTACAAACAACCAATGGAGTTGTTTATTTTCTAGAAAAATATGTGGTTTTGTTACTAAATATAAAATATTATGATATATTAATGACTAAATACACATTTATAACAAATGTGTATGTGGTAGAACACTCGTCTCTTTACTTTCTATCATCTATGCCTATCTTTTTTTCTAAATAAAAAAGCTACATCTGGCAATTGTATTTAGATATTTAACGAGCTAGTTAGCGAAAGTGCACTAGTTGTATAGATCAAGTCAATATATATATATATATATATATATATATATATATATATATATATATATATATATTTTGTTTCTTTTTCGATACAAAGAAAAACCGTGTTCATGCACTTAAAGATACCAGTAAGACAACACATTACACTACAGCATGTCATATCCAATGATATTTTCTTATATTAAACAAAGAATAAGAATAAACTACTAAGACAAAGAAATGATTAAAGGCAATAATTGATGACAACTTGTGTGGTTCTAGTTCTTTCGGTTATATATGATAGGATATGACTTTCTTGTTTATATTATAGTCCATACAGCACAAATTGACAATGCCCATTTGAGATTGACCCAAATGTAACGTCTTTTGGGGATATCTAAAGGCCCTGTCGAACCTTTCTGTGTGACTGGAAGTAAGGTTGACATATTTGAATCGAAATCATTTTCAATGCATGATGTGATTACATAAATAATGACTAAGTTTGACATATACATCACCATGCAATGAATTAATTTAGCTTAGGACACGGAAAATTATGGTTCAAACTTTATAGAAAGGTTTAATTATTGCTATATTTTTAGTATTGTGATGGACCTAAGTGTCACGCAAATTGGAGTCATTATTGTAACCATCAAATTATGGAGGAAAGGTAGGGAGAATATTAACAATGAGGAATTTGTCAAAGTGTAAAAGGTATACATAAATTTACAGCTAGGAAATTAATTTACGCTGAATTTATACACGTCCTGCTAATGGATGACTACCATTAAATAATAATGCTGAAAAACTAGCATTGACATTAAGAATTAGTTATACAGCAACCGAAGTAAACTGTGCTGGTGTTCTTTCAAAGCTTAATGTGAGTATGTGACTATGTACAAATGAAGTCTCAACCAATTCTAATACAGAACTGGATATCTGACTAGTTCTCGTAAGAAATTTTTGAATTTTTATTTCTCCACCAGTTTATCCATTACCCAAATAATTCGGTTCGAAAATATGGTGCTTCCAAGACTCAAACTCCAGATTATGAGTTAAGCTAAAATAATCTCTTACTACTTTGATTCACGTATTTGGTGGTAGTATCCAGAGTTATTCAAGTAATTTAAATCAATCCTAACCTGACATTAGTTTCATTTTATTTCATGCTCCATAAAACAATTGAAAGGTTTTGACAAAAGAGTGTGCACCCTTTGATACATAACTGTCCTCTCAGTCTAGTATTCCACCTGCATGAAATGTTGTAGTCAACGAAACATTAAACATGATATTACTATTAATTTGCTTAACCTTGAAACACTTGTGATTGCATATGAAGGCCTAGGTTGGATTTGACTGAATGGCTAAAAACTTTCTCATCTTGATAAACTCAAATATTCATCAATTACTCGATTAGTCCTATTTAAATATCATTGAATCCATTATAAGATGTGTCTCTCCCAAAACCATTTTCTTGATTTCTAGAGCTTCAACAAAGAAGCTTTGACTAGCAACTCAATCACCAAGCACGTCACCTTAGGTGATTAGACAAGGTACTATCTACTATGGGCAAGTTAAGGAATAGACTAAACTAAAAGGACAAAGTTGAGTGTCTATATATAAACCTTCCGATCAGCCCAAAAATTAATGGGTCATATTTTGTGTTTAGTGACCTGAGTATATGCGGAACAAGCCTAGATATGATCTTTGTAGCCCAACTTGTCACTGTAGACTCAATTAGATAGCAAAATCTTTCTAAAACAAATATAAAAATAGGAAATTGCAAATGATTAAAGGTTTAAATTGTTTGCGTGTTATTGTAAGCAATTGATGCATAATTGTATGACTAGGTACTTCGGATCCAACTCGTGCAAGGTTGAAGTATATAATAATTATAAGTTGCACCGAAAGTCATATAATACAAAAAATATATTTTCAAAAACCAAAAGAGAGATAACATGAGATGTACCAAAATTTTAATTAATATTATATGAAATAATATAGTAAATAAATATTTTAGTTAGTATATGATATCTTTAAATAAATTGTTTAAATTAAATTAAAATTTAGTTAGGAAATTATTTTTAAAATAAAAAATAATAATAATAAATATTTTGTAAGATAATCTTTTTATATTTAAGTTTTGTATATAAAATCAAAAAGTACATATATAACATTAGGAAAAAACATTTCTCTGTCAACTTGAGATAAGTTTATCTCCGGCCAACTCAAAACTACTTCGTTTTGTTTATTTATTTCCTTATATTAATTGATTCACCTTGGAACGGTTATGATTCCATTTTTCTCTCTCTTCCTTTATCACCATTGATCCATCTTTGTACGGTTATAATTTAGTAGCCGGAAATAAAATTATCTTAAGCAGTTTGATAAATGAGAAGCTCATAACATTATTAATTTAAATATAAATCTCTCTAAGCCTGACCTGACCTATTAGCTTGTGTAAGCTCCAAATTACAAGTCTGGCCTGACTTATATTTAAAAAATAAAAGCATTGACCTAGGCCTGTTAACCTGTTTAAGTCTATTAAACATTCAACAATTAAAAGAATAACTAAAATAATATTATTTTATTATTCAAAATTATTAAAATAATAATTTTATTTATTATATTTTAAATAAATAATATGATATAGGCCAGCCTGTAAGCTTATAGGCCCGACATGTACAAAAAAGCCTATGACTTGTTTTCTAAATAAGTTTTTTTAAAAACCTAGGCCTGTTCTATTTTACTATTTACAATAGGCTAAGTCTGGCTTAATATAGGCTAGGTCGTAGACCCCTGTAGGTCGGCCTAGCCCATTTACCCCCTAATTATAAATATATTTCACATTTTAACCAAACGTCATTTTGATAATATTTTAATTGTGATTTTTTAAAAAATATATAATACCAAATAGTTAATTTTTATCAAAATTATAATCTTAAATATTTATTTTAAACAATTTATGGAATACAAGATTAAACAACTATCTCTCTCTCTCTCTTATAAAACAACCAATCCTCAATATAATTATATTTTATTTTAGTTAATTCTATTTCGTTATATTTCATTCAATCATCCTCCATTCCATTTTGATCAAACTATATCCAAACAAACCTAACTAAAACCCATACCCCGCCCAAAATCGTGAAACTGAACAGTGAAAGAGCATAATATAGATCAATCCGAAAAATGTCGAAACGCGACACATCCGATTCGGAATCCGAGGATGCCTCAAATTCAAGCTCAGAGTCAGAGGAAGCAGAAGAAATCATGTCCAATGGGAAGAAGAATCAGCAGCAGGGCGTGTCGGAGTACGAGAAACAGAGGCTTTCGAGAATTGCTGAGAACAGAGCGAGGTTGGAGGCATTAGGGTTACCCCAAATGGCTTCCTCTTTCAAGGGCATGCCTCAAAAAGCGAAAAACAAGAAGGGTAAACAGAAGGTTGAAGATGATGATGATGATGAAGAGTATAAACCCGAACATGAGGGAGAACCCAGATCACAATCTTCAAGCGAAGAAGATGGGCACGATAAAGATGAGGACTTTGCTGCTGAAAATGCTGCTGGGACACGGAAAAGGAAGGTGGGTACTGAAAATTCTTCAATAAAAGACCCCATTTTTAAAGTTTTATCTTTCAGTTCAATTTAAATAAATAAATTTTCTTATGCAAAGTTTAGATTTTAATTTAATTGGGTTATTGAGATATGATTTTTTTTTTCTTTCTAGTTTTACTTCTTTGCAAAATTGAGCTATTTTTGTTGGTGGAATGTTTTGTTTTCAGCTTTAGCTGTTGTTTGGTTTAATATGTACATAATAAGATGCTTTGGCAATGTGCTTATTTTGCAGTTAATGTGAATAGCCCTAGGAGTTCTGGTTTGAAAAATATTTTGGCATTTACAATTGTTTTCCTTAATAGCAACTGCAGGCAAAGAACAAAGGTTTGAAAATGAAAGGTAGAGTCTCTGGGAAGAAGCATGGAACTAATTCAGAGTACATTGATGAAGATGAAGCTTTGAGGCAGGTAATTTTGATGCTTAGGTCCTGTTGGTTTTGTTAGCTATATGTGGTTAACATTTTGCCATGCTGCCGATCAGAATAATGCTATGAATTGATATAGAATCATGTGTTAACTGTATGATATCTATGGATAGGCAATTGCTCTTTCCCTGCAAGACTCTGCAGAAGGCTCATATAGCTCTGACAAGAATGCAGTGAACATTAACAACAACAAGGCTGAGAAAAAGGGAAACATTCACATTCATGAAGATAATGGAAGAACAAAGAATAAAAAATCGGTTTGTATTGAGTTTTCTGTTCACAGAATAATCTTTCCTTCTTTATGATTCTTTAAGTTCGTATTGGAGTTTTTCTTAATTCTTTTTAATTGTGTCAACAGTTTACTAGTCGGCTGCAAATGACCGAAGATGAACTCGTTTTACACTTCTTCCAGCTTGATGGTAATTTGATAATTTATGTTCCTGCTACCTTTTGTTTTGTTGAGGGCAAGGAATAGTGGCAAGATATTGAATAGTTTGAAAATAAATTTTTAAAATTTCTTCCAGGGTATAAAAAGAAATCTGGTTTGAGAAGCCACTTTTTTGCCCTTACAACTCTGTAGTTAATTCTTATTATGTAAGCAATTTTTATTACTCGCTTCTGGTGCATCTATTGATTGTCCTATATATGCACCGTTATTTCAACTTGTAAGTGTACATTTGGAGTTTGAAGTATCAGAGATTTGTCATTGGTTTGGATGAACTAAAAAAATCAAATTTTTAATAGTTTTATTAGACCTGGAAAAAAAAAAAAAAAAAAAAAGATAACTGAAAACAACTTATATTAAATGCTTTTGACAAGTTATTTCAGTTTGCTTTAACTAGTGCATATCTGAAACTTCGAATATGATGGCAACTTACACCAAATAAAGTTTCTCTTTCTCCCTCTCTTGCATAAACCAAAATTAAATGATAAATAACATAGAAGTTACTACTTAAGCTCTAAACTATAAGTCTGGTAATTCAATAATGCTATAAGCATCTAGTTATTTTATTGAGATTAAGTTCTGATTTCAATATTTCATATAAAAATGAACAAAGAAAGCTTTTTCTCTCCTTTTCTTTGCTGCTTTTAATTCATTCACAGGCTGTTGGTGATTGACAAGGGATGTTCTGGCATGCAGAAGCAGGAAAAGGAACTGTAACGATAAGGGATTTACAAAGGGCAGCTATAGCTCATGATTTTATATGGACAGACAGAGAGTTGGCTGATATGATTCGCTACTTTGATAGTGATGGAGATGGAAAGGTAATATTAGCAACTTTTTCAATGATTTTGTTTTTGGCTGGAGGTCAAGGAGATCATAGAATAGCCTCTAGGATTTATAACTTTCAATTTGAACTTTGGTAGGCAATTGCTTAAACTTTTTGGAATATTGCATATGTAAGGACTATATATTATTTATCCTTTATTCCTTTAGGATATGTACACTAATCCAAATATATTATTGTCATTGCAAGTACTATGTAGTTAATCTCTTTCACTTTTCGTTAGTTATTCATATCTTTTCCCTATATCTTCAAGGTCAGAAAAGATAGATCTTCTTTCTTACATCTTACAATTATGAAAATCGATCATTTTGACCCTTTTATATAAAAAATTATGGAAAATTACCAAGAAAATTTTTGTAATAATAATGATTATTACTGTTACCTGCTTAAGTATAATGGGCTCTTTTGCAGATAAACCTTGATGATTTCCGGAAGATTGTTGTTCGTTGTAACATGATTAAAGGGTCTTAAAATTCTTGATATCAGGGATAGGATACAGCACCATGTTTTTAGGCATATGTTATAGGATGGCAAGACCATTATGATTCCTTGTGTTCTTTTTGGTATATCACTTTGGTAGGTTGAGGCCATGATAACTATAAAGACTCTTAAATGTATATATTACTGTGGAATGAAACAGTTTTTTAGTATTCCATCTTGTATTGCTGTATCGTTTTTATTTCCTCTTGTTCTGTGTTGCTTTTCCGTTTTTGTTTCTTATGTAACTTTCACTATGCTAAGTTGTTTTAATTACCTGTAATTTGACACTTTCTCAACCCCTAAAGTTTTTTTTTTTTTTTTTTTTTGTCTCACTGAAGTCTGAACCCTTCTATAGTTTGGTCTAACATGAAAACATGACTTATCTGTTAAATCTAACATTGGTCAAGGCATGTAGATGACACATGACTTGTAACTTATCCAAAGTGAAGTAGAGATAACCACGCAACAATGGGAAGCTGTGAGGAACAGAAAGAAAAAGGGATACATAGGGAAGCTTCAAATTAGAGAATGGGAACATTGATCTTGGGAGTTCATGGTATTCACTAGTTTTTTTATCATCACGTAAGGAATAAACTTGAATAGATCCATGATTCATATGATTGAAAATGAACATCACTACATAAACCCAATCTATCCCTTGCCATTTCCTTTCATTAATAGATTCTTTCTTTATAGTTGTTCTTGTTAAAAGCCTTATAGGAAAAGATAGAACCATTTTTCTTAGTCAACTTCCTTCAAGTTGATGGTTATAAGCACTTGGAAATCAATTTCTCATAACTCATGAGAACCAGTATGCCCTTGTATAAGTCAAAAGTTCATAAAATACATTTCACATGAGTTAATGATTTTCTAACAACACCTAGTTCATGGCAGTTGACACTAATGATGGTTGCTAGTTGTCTGGTTGGTTGGTTGACGTTGATGGGGGTTAGGATTAATCAAATCTCAAGCTTAGTTTATGGTTTGACTCACAGGTCAAAATGCACATTAAGGGCTCTACTAATATGATAGTGACTTTTTTGCTGTTTATGATGGTGATCATGGACTGTAGAGAAATAATGTTATTCGTCATTGATAGGCCATCCACTAATTACTTTGTGTCCATTGTGCAAATAGCTGTCCACTTCTCAAGTTTTATGTCCACCAAAAAATAAAGATTTAGTCACAAATGCACAGAGCAGCATTAAATAGTGAGATATTGAGTTGAGTTGAAGGTAAACTTGGATACATCATTCGTTTGTAGTGTTTCCTTTTACAACTGAATTGATTGCAAATTTTCTTTAGTTATTTCTCTTAATGTTTGATCTTTTGCAAATCTGAGTATTAAGTTACTCAGATAGATCTATTTCTCTTAATGTTAGATCTTTTGTCTTTGTTGTCTTTTTTAATGGGAGTTATGATTTTAAAATTTTGAATTAAACTGAATCACAATCTGATTTACTTATCTAAGTTGTTTGGTTCGACTTTAAAAAGAAGAAGTATGATTTGGTTCTTGGCTTAGAGCCAGAGGTTATAAATTAAACCATATGATTCAAACCAAACGTAAATAACTTTTATCTTGTTTGATCATTGCATTTTATTTTTTTTGCCTGTATTAGTTTTTTTTTTTTGGGTGGTGAATTGCCTTCTCTTTGTTATTATTGCTTCAAATATAAGTCTGCTTTTTTTTTTGCCCGGTCTACTCCATTTTCATTGGCAAAAACCCAACTGAATAACTTTTTTTACAAGAAAAAATTTACATCTTATTTGAAAAACAAAAAGATAGAAAAACATAGAAAGCAATATAAGAATAATATAAAGATAATATACAAATAACATTGTTCAACAAATGTTGCAAACTATATCTTTTGAATATTAAGGCCAGTGATAATAAATGAAAGGTTTTGCTGACAACCTAACGAAGCTTGAATAAAAATACGAACCATCAAATAATACTTTTAAGTTTTTAAATTTCAATGTGTTAAAATGTTGGAAATAAGCAAATATGAAATAACTTTACTTTTGCTCTCTCTTTTCATTGAACCCTACTCTAGTGTATACGAGATCAAATTATCTACAACTTAGCAGAAAAAATATTAATTCCTTAAGTATTTTACTTTACATTTAAAACTTTTTATCTTTACTTTCATAACCGATGCCCTTAGAGCACTGACTAGACAAATCAATGAATGAAAACCATAAACAAATCGAAAAGGAAGGAAGAATGGTAATTTTACTTTCTAAAATAAATAATTTTTTGTTACTATGAAGAATTTTATAGCTTATGGATTACTATTGAAAGACTCTTTTCATGGTGCCAATGACTTTGAATTGATACAAGCAAGGTGAGGTCGGGAAATAGGAGCAAATAAAAAAATTAATCACATGTACCACATCAAATAACAATGCACTTCCCATGATACCAATTCCATCAACATGTCTACTGACGACTATGATTGCTATTGCTGATAGAAGTACCTATATTTCAGATCACACATTCCAAATTTCTAGAAGCAATACACAACAATAAGACAATAATTGGTTTTTGCATATAACACATTTTTCTTCCTCTTGCTGCTTTCTACAATTGATCATCTTGGAGAAGCTGGCAATCACATAGGTCACGTCCTCTTCAATAGGAAACCCAAAATGATGCCAATCAAGCCAATAAGAACTACATACATAAATGGTATACCACCACGGCTTCTGTTGGCTTCACGCCTCAAAAGATCCTGTGCATGGAAGATTCCAAGTCAAACCATAATTCTCCATGAGAACCATAAATTCTAAAGAATCTCAATATAATAGTTATTAACTTCTGCACTAAACACTTTTCAATTATGGCAAATATTGGCCAAACCATAGTACATAAGGCTCATCGACTTGCGAGGGTAGGAGTGAATATTGATTGTACGCAGCATTATCCGTGCATTTTTACAAAAAGGTTGTTTCTCAAACTCGAACCCATGACCTTCCGGTCTCAAGGTTGTAAAGTTGCTCCAAGGTTCACCCTCTAGCACTACTAATGTCTAATACTCAATTAAGGAAAATGATCTAGCGTTCAGAAGAAGTTTAAGTGGGGCCTAGTTTTAATCCAGTGGCTGACAAAGAAAGAGCAGAACGCAGAAGAGTGTCAATTAAGAGCGCACGACTATAATTAGCAATCAAAACATACTGGGCAATGAACAAGTCCCGTCCTTCCTATTATGATTTCAGTGGGAAAGAGACAACTATAGGAATACTGCAACAGGCCATTTAAACATTTATCCTTTATATTTCTCATGTAGGTGATAAAATAGCTAGGTACGGATTAAGGAATTGAAAAAAGAGGTTATAAAACAATAGGCAAAATATAATGTGATTGGTAAGAGTGGTAGATAATTTAAGGATGTTCATTGGTTTGCTTTGGTTGATTTTCAAACTATCCACCAACCAAACTATTATACTCAGTTTTGCTAAATGAGTAACATAACTAAGCCTATGGATAACATGAATTCAACCAAAAGGCTTTCAAGAATCATACGGTAGCATATGTTCACACAGTTTACTACTTTTTGAGATCTGAGAAGCAAAAAAAATATATTTTAAAAACTGGAAACCAAACAGGTTCCCTTTGGTTCCCCTGCCTCCAATTTCCTGATCTTTTATTACTTTGAATCAGAAAAGTTTTCAAGATATTCAGATACACTTAATTCATGAATAGATTGACTAAGATGATCTCATCTTTCCCAAACTGTAAACTCAGACATAAGGAGATGGATATTAAATTCATTTCATCCTAATAGGTCCATAACATAACAAAAGAACAAATTAGAAGTATTGAAAGAGTAAGTCATTATAACTTCCAATATAGAGTGCACTTGTCGAAAATAATAAACTAGGAATACCATAATGAGTATATTAAAATTTTCTGGGTAGACTGTCTTAGGTTCATAGGATAACCATCAAGATCTCCTATGACAACATTCAAAATAACACATGTAAAAGCATGCTTAAAAGAAAAAAATTTCAGAATAAATTTTATACCAGTTCTTGTTGAAGCCTTTTAGTTTGCTCAACAGCAGAATTCCTCTCCTCAGTTGCCTTGGAAATAAGAGTTGTTGCCTGAAATAATAAGAAATTAAAATGAGAAGCATCAATTTTTCAGAATTCATATCTCACTCATGGAACCCAGAAAAATATAGCACTAATTTCATTAACAATGGAGGCATAGCCTCTTTTTACATACACTAATACAAAGATAAAATGCAGAAAATAAACCCCAAGAGACCTCAACTCCCCCTCACAGCCAACACACCTAGGCTACAAGAGTTCCTCAGAGGACCCCAAATTTCCCCATTAACCAACTCTGCATTCATGCATAAAGAAACCCATCCTAAACATATATATATATATATATATATATATATATATATATATAGCTAGTTCCTAACTAATGGGCTTGGATATTTTCTTAGAGCCCATCACTCACCAAGAGCAATGCTGAGCTCTTCTTTGAGTTAGCAGAGATAACCACTGAAGGCAATGGCCAGCAAGTTCTTCCAATAATAGGATTATCAATGTAAATAAATGACATGAATCAATCAACTTCAAAACAGTTTATCTGCAAGGGCATTCCTATATGACATGCTTAAATTAAAAACCATAGAAACTCCTTGTACCAAAAAAAAAAAAAAATAGAAAATCACAGTACCACAAGACTATGAAAGATCATTGATAAAAGGCCAGTACAGCAATAAAATCCTTACATAAACTCAGAATACTTCAAATTTATGCATTTCAAAAACATATGAAAGGTGATTCCAACCTCGTAAAACTAAATTAGAATCATCATGATTTTTTATATCTCTACAGTCTACAATGACATGCAAAATTGTCCATTTGGGTTGGGGTCAACAGGAGCTATTATTGCATGCAAGTTTGGGTTGGGGTCAATTGCCAACATCAAGCATTAAAGTATTTTGTGCTGCATAGAAATTATAATGTGAACTGCTTTTTTTTTTAATAAAAAAAAAAACCTTGTTATTGTTAGAGAGAAAAGAGGTAAAGTACGACTGGCGGAGGACAAGATATCCTTCTAAATGTCAAAGAGCAAAGATGTGAGATATATATGTCACCTCAAATGAAGCATCTTGATGTTCAACCTGCTCATTGAAAGCTTTTGAAGCCTACAGGGAACGTTTATCACAACAAATAACCAACATGAAAACATTAAATGTTTTGATTAAAAATATATGCAAACCCCACTGTTTACTTCATCAACATCAACAACATCTTTATCCCAAATAATTGGGGTCGGTGGTAGATGAACCCAAATGAAAGTTACGAAGGGATTGAAAAAAGCAAACCCCACTGGTTACTTACAGGCATAAATTCCAAAGCACTTGAATGCCCGTTTTCTGATACAGATGCACGAGGTGAAGAATCTTCGTCGGATCCTTCTCGGACTGGGGATGGTGGTTGGGGAGGAGGAACATAAACAACTCTCAATTTGCACTCTTCCACAGCATAGCCAGATTCTTTATTGAACTATATGCAATGAGCAAAGAAAACCATTAAACAATGCAAGGTGAGTTAAAACTGTAGCATATGTCACACTCACACAGAGTTATTCTATCAAGAAACAGTTTATTATTTGTTGAATGGTTACCATTTCTGGAGTGATATCTTTTGCTGTTGCTCCAGGGCTTGCTACTACACTTTGAAGGAGAAACTTATCCCTGCATTGCATGTCAGGAGGTGCCTCCTTTTGGGCTTGCATTGTTACTGAAAATATAAATAAGACACAAACAGTCAATACATAAAAGGGAAAGTTGCTTACAAATGTTGCACACAGAAAAAGGGAATCCTGGTGCTATAAAAACTACCCCAAGAGGCTTGTGGGTCAATACTAATAGCAGGCAGCATTTGCAAATGAATGCTGATTACATGAATCGAACCTGCGACCTCAGGGTCACAAATGTCACATATCCAACACCAATGTTGTGCCAAGGTTCCCTTATGTTGCACACATACGCGGGGGGGGGGGCAAAAAATTGACCCCAAAAATAATTCAAAATATTTCACTAATCACCATGCATAACAAACTACCAGTTTAAGCATAGGGATACATAATCAAGCAATAGATTGTTCCTCTATGCATGCCTGTGTGCTTTTGTGTGCAAGAGAAGAGAGAGAGAGAGACCTGTAACATCACATGTAGACCTAGGCAACACAACTCCAGTGTTAGGTCTAACACAATACTTCTTCGGATTTGTCGTCTTAACCTACAAACCATGAATTTCACTTCAAATCAAAATTACAAGTCTCCATACCACATATACACACACATAAATTTTCAAATCCAAAAAACTAGAAATAAATGAAAAGAAAAGAAAAAGCATAGAAAGTAAGTTAGAAAAGAAACACCAAAAGTAAAATTGGAACCTTGAAAGCCACATAGTTATCTGTCTTGTTAGACAACTGCAAAGAGCATGAGATCTGCTTCCTCAATTCCACTATTTCGCAAAACCCAAAAGCCAGGAAAAAAAAGAAAGAAAGAAAAGGATATTAGAACAACACCCAGAAGCAGAAACCGAACAAAAAACCCAAAAAACCGAATTAAAGTGAAGATTTTTTTTTTTTCGGAACAGAAGAGGCTCACAGCCAAACTGCAGCTCCTGAGGCTGTATGTGGATGAGCTCGCCGGAACTCATGGTGGAGGGATCGGAGGTGAATCGCCGGAGACCAAGTCAATGTTGGTTTTCCGGCGAGAAAAAACGGTTGTCGTAGGTAGAGAGAGAGAGAGAGTCAGAGAGCTGCACAACGTGGGACACTTGTTTATCCCTATGGTCTATGGAGTGATTTGGGTACGAGGCATCAAGAGGAAGGGTATTTTGGTCTTTTCTCCCTCCAAAATAATGATCACACTAGTTAGTTCTATTTTTATGAAAAATATACCAGGCAAGTTATATTTACAAATTTTTTTTTTTTACAAATTTTTACAGATTATACTAATTATGACCGGTCATACTTTAATCATGCAGTGTACGATCGGTCATATTTAGTGTAATTTGCAAAAAAAAATTGTAAACGGATCATATCCCAAAATATATATATTTTATACATTATCATACTAATATTCTAAGCAGTTTAGCAAATTTTAATGTAACAATGTTTTATTTTTAATCTAATGGCACATTGGATTGTGTACTATCATTTATAAACGGGAAAATGATGTGTCATTTTAAATGACACATCTCATATTCTTTCACTCTTACAAAGAGATGAAATTCGTATTTTTTATTATCAAAAAAAAAAAAAAAAAAACTCGTATTTTTAAAAAAAAAATCCTTCATTTTTTTGATGATTTATCTCATTCTCTAATTTAAAATAACACAATTTTATATTCTTTAAAATCATACATTTTTCCCTTTATAAATTGTAATAGAGTGACTCTCAAACTACATTAAAGCATCTCCATCATGATCATGATGTGTTTTCTTTTTTGTTTTTCCTCCTTTTAAATTCTTGCTTCCTTGTGTAAATTTCTTTCCCTTTTATTTTTCTTTCCAAGGTTGATATTATTCTTTGTGGGTTTGTCAAAATAAAGTATATATTCTTTTTTATAAGTTTAGTTTGAGTTCATTGGCTTACTTAAGGAGGAAATATTTTACCACACTTATTTATAAAAAAAATTGTTTATCAGACTAATTAGATAAGTTAGAAAATTTTAAATATTATACATAATTTTATCAATTTTTTTATGAATATTTTCAATTCAAACTTTCTATAAATATTAAATAATAATTTTTTATATTTTTCATTTTAGATTACTCATTTAAAAAATTACTAATAAAAATTACAGGTTTATAATGCTTCTAGTGACAAATAAGCTTGAATTGAAACATTGGTAAAATTTCAAATATCAACAATTTGAGCTCGTGAGAAATAATATTAAGAGAGGAACAGTTTAATAAGAATTCAAAAAACCTCTTACGAAAAAAAGAACAAGTTTACTGCATAGTCATAAGTTGTCCTTGAGATTGCTTATGAACGAGTTATTATAAGAAGCATTATCAAGGCTAGAGATAATATTGAAAGCAATTTGTTTTCAATCTCTCATGCTTTGAAACAGAGAAACACTTTACATTTTTCTAGAATTTTCCAGCTCTCATAAACAAAATAAACAGTGATCACCGTGTATTCAACCACTTTGTAGCTTCCAAATGACTTTTAATCACTGTCTTACGTGGCATTTTTTTGAATTTCTGAAAAATTACATTTTTTAAAATTTTAAATTTTCAAATATTATCATAAACTAAATGTAAAAATTATATTTTTAAAAATTGAGATTTTTAAACAAAAAAAATTTCTACTGTACCAAACGCTCCATAAAAGTAGCATGAATTTATTAGTATGAATTTAAGCTGAAGAAAGTACCAACACCACAGAAAGTACCAACACCACTAACACCGAACTACTCAAGCGTAGCTGTCACAGCAAGCACAGATCCATTTGGAGGCTTTTCTTTTGGACTCACCGCAACCCATAAATTTGTGTACAATTTTGCTAAAGCATAGTTGCTAATACAGAGAGTTGTTTGTGCCCATATAATATAAACTTCCAATTAAACTTGACTAGTTATATTAAGGGGTGTTTGGTATGAAAGATATTTTTTTTATCGAAAAAGAAAAATTGTTAGGAATTTGGTAGAAATTTTTTTATTCCAAGTAAGTTACGAAAAAGCATTTGATTGATGGTAAAATATTAATAAAAATGTGAATCAAAATTACCAAAATACTCATGCAGTCGTATAGTTTAGCAAGGTATTTGTCTCAAAAGGTTATATTCAATATCTGAGAGAATGGGAAAAAAAAATCATATACTAGTAGGTGGATAATTTTTTAACTTTGTGTAATTCAAAAGGAAAATGTGGGGAAAAAAAATTGCTGATATTTTGTTCACATTTCTTATACTAAATATGGTAAATAAATATTCTCTATCTCACGTTCTCGTTATTCCAACTAAAATATCCATACCAAAAGGGTAACTAAAGACAATCCTTATATCCAAACTTACTCTTATATATTTGCAGAGGCTTCCGGATTTTAGTACATAAAAATTGGCTTTACTTCAATCATTGATCGTATTTTCCTCTTAAATAATTTACCCTTTTCTTTAAATCTGTTTGCCATGACAGTTCTGCAATGGATTCTTTATCTTTCCTTTATTTTCTTTTGCTTTGGTTTCTAAATTCATCTTTACGAATTCTGCATGATAAGTCATGTACAGTCTTATACGTAAGAATCCGTACCTAATTATGAAATGGGAGAAGGAAAATGCTTGCATTTTAAAGAGACAGGAGCGTTTGGTAGAAGAAAAATTTCATTTTATCCGAGAATCTCAATTTTCAAAAATATGATGAAAACATTCAATTTACGATAATATCTGAAAATTAAAAATTAAGAAAAGTCAGTTTCCTGAGAATCCTGAAATATACTGACTACGTTCTATGGACTATGGCTAAGATAAATATAATTTCACAGCTTAGGGGGTGTTGGGTAGGAGTTTTTGGTGTAGATATCTAGGCAAATCAAATTGGTTTTCCAACTTGTCCATGTTTGGTAGAAGCTTTACAAAAATTCAACTAGGAAATTGTTTCCCTAGCATTTGTAAATGTACTGTTTCAGAATACCACGTCTAATATAGTATTTTGGGATTACTGGGGAAAGTAAAAAATGGAAGTGCCCCTGGAGACGAAAATGACCCTATACAAAGCTCTATTGGCCTTGCATCTCGGAAACGAAACATGATAAATCAGAGTGATCTAGTGGACTCTCGTGTGATCCTCTTTGATAGTGTTCATAAGGTCACAAAATCAGGAAACACCTTTTTTCACACTTTGAAAGCATGGAAAAACGAAACTTTTTTCATATTTGGAGTTGGCCTTATACTAGGATTTACAAACGAAACCAGAGGTTGACATCATCTTCTAAGAATGCAGTGTCAAGAACAGATACTGGACTTGGCTGCCTAGATAAATTCATAGCACTTTGTAGCTTTTGAATTTTCTTAGTGATGGAAGGGTGATGACAGTGGAGTTGAAGGTTTGATGTCTTCAGTTACATCCTCTTGGAAGAACAAATAAAAAAGGTTAAATTTGTAAATTACACCCATTTTCCCAGCAATATTAACCCTCCAACCAAACATAAACTTATCAAACTTTATTCAATTTTTTCAATAAAATTTTGGCCTACCAAACAACTTTTTTTTAACTTTCCTACTAAATTTACTTTCGTACTATATTCTTAGTAATTTATTTTCCTTATAAAAAAATTCTTCTCTTCTACCAAACACCCCTTAGACCTTTCCCTAATCCTCTCCCAAACCACACATTTGAGCAAAGCCCATAGCACCTTAAGCCATCCTAATATGAATATCCCTTGAATTGCCACAAAAGTAAGTGTTAAGAGTGTTAGCGTGTTGCGGTAGTCCAACAAAAGCAAGTTTTACTTGGGTATTACACTGAAGAATTCAGCATCATGCCAAAGTAAAACACAATGCCTTTGAAAATTTTAGAACATAAAAATGAGTTTTGTACAGTGTAAAACATGGAGTGTTCCCTCTGATAGAATTCACAATTCACAAGAACAAGTAAACTGGGAACCAAGAGAAAAGACAACACTTTCCCTTTTCCACAAATAATGCTAAGCACCACAATCTTGAGAGCTTTGTGTCCAAAAACAAAAACAAAAACAAAAACAAAAACAAAAAAAAGAATCTTGAGAGCCACTATACATTCTATCTGGAAAAGCCACAATACATTATCAAAGATTTATCAATAACAAGTAATTAATATAACTTATCCTAATAAATACAATTTATCAAAAATAATAAATCCCTAAACTTTTCCTTGAGCCAACAACGATATAGTTCTCCTTCCCTCTTCATAAGTTGAGGTACAAAACAGATCAACCAGTTTGATCATAATTCAAGATAACACACGAACAACCATCGATACAGCACAAATCCCAGATAATCAGATAAGTATTGTATCTAATTTACTTGTATATATTAGATGTACATCACTATCACTATGGTCTATGGATGGGATGGAAAACACCCATCACTAAATTTAAAATTTAAACCATATCAACTTTATCTATAATCAGTCTCTTTTAAAATAGTTTTCAATGGTATTAATCAGTAATACCATTAGCAGCAGAAGCATCTGAATGAGATAATTGCTGATTACGAGCTTGAGCAGTTAAACCAGCAAACCAAGCAACCCTCATCAGCTGTAGACCAAGAATTAGCACCCACCAACAAACCAACCCCCTAACTGTATGCATCATCCATGCTGGTGCATTGAGCTCAACCCCAAGCTTTAATCCCCTCATTAGCTGCAAGACACGGTAAGACTCATAAATGACTGGGGTAACAAGCCAAACTGGTGATTGCCAATGCCAAGTCAATATCTCAGTCAGAATCTGTACTGACAAAAGAAGAAAATAAGGACCAAGTAGAACAGCAAATGAGATTAAAGGTAGCTGAGGTTGGAGGAAGCCCTTCTCAGATCCAAACATCATCAACAATGGGACAATAAATCCAGTAAGAGTTGCAACAATGTTCCAGAACTGGTAACTGAAGGGAGCCTTGCTGTTACAGTCTTGTGTTGGATACTTTGGCTGGGAACAAGAATCAGCCATGAGGAGAAAAAGGGTTGCACCAAGGTTAAAGATGCAATCAAGTCCAACCAAGGAAAGCAGGCTGGCTATATTGGGGCCAAGAAAGATCGAAGACATTGGTAACCACAATGTTGGGACCATGCCGGTCGCAAGGAGAATGGAAGGGCCCAGAAGCCACATGGGCCATTTGAAAAACTGAAGTTGCAGACCTTGCTGATATTTTTTCTCTAGAAGCTCTTCAGCATTTGCTGTTGATGAGTCAGCTGTTTTACTAGGATCAAGTGTTTCAAATATATTGGCACTATTCTGCAAGAAACTACTACTTTGATTATCAGTAGGAGCATATGTGACAGGTGATGGTTCCCATGGAGTCAACTTTGTGCAGCATATGCAGGATTGATTGATGTGAATACTAGGAAAAGTGAGTCCTTGGAGTTGCAATAGTTTTCCGGATTTCAATAATCCATGGCTTCTAGGATGTGCCCTCCAGAAAGTGGAGGTATGTATTTTATACTGTGTTTGAGTTAATGATGCCATTCCTCCATTCATTCTTGACTACAGATGCTCTAAAGGTTTTTATGCTCTTTGTTCTCAGGCACCTGAAGTTAAAAAAGAACAAACCGCTGATGACACAAACACTGTTAAACTCCAAAATCGAGAAATCACAGACTCTGTTTGAGTGATGTGTACTGTTATTGGAAAGCATACAGCACTATCTTGGATGCTACTTTAAGCAGAGTGTAAGTCTAGCAAATCTAGCAATTTAAAAAGAAAAATGATAAACAAATATAAAAGTTGTTCAAGAGACATGTAAAAAGTGGATTACAGGAACTCTACTATACAGTACCTAATACTGTTAATCAATGCTGAAAGAGGCACACAAATAGTAGTGCTTTCCAAAGTGAGACTGGGAAATCTTCAGTTACACCAGTTGTCCCCTGATTCAATAAAGCTAAAATTCAAGCCTGTTTCATGTTTCACTTTTCTTTTCTTTTCCCACCAGTTCCCAACAAACAAAAAGGAGACAGTGGAAAACATACTTCAAGTGTACTAGACGCGATCCAGGTGAAAATCAGAAACTTGCTCAGATTTCAGAGTAACAAAGCCATATAAAGTGGTGAAGGTTTAAAGACCTATGCTATTTGCAAAGCCAAACAAAGATAACAAAAAGGGAAATCTTTTACCTAAATTGGGTGTGCTAAGTTAGCAATGCATCAGATCAATAAGCACAAGCAATTGGTTTATCTATGTTTATTTATGAATTGTTCATCTACAAGTGTTCTAAATTAGCCAGCTAATTTCTTCATCTGTTACGGACGTGGCTAGGGTTGATAATTCAAGTAAGCCTAAAGCATGGAAAGTATATCGAAGGAGACAAAAGAGTTAGTTAGGAAAAAGTCAAAGTGTAATTAGTAATAGTCCTTGTGTATAAAAGTAGAGGAAGTTGTCTTTTGTGGGCATTCAGTTGTAAACTTCTAATTGACCACGGAGGGTGCTCACTAGGTGTGAAGAGGTGCTTCCCTTGGAAGTGTCTTGTAACCTTGTAAGCTCCTTGATCCATATTAATAGAAATCCTAGTATTTTCTTGCCTCCTGTTCTGCGTTTTGGTCTGAAATCTTTCTTGGTTGGTAACAAAATCACTCAGCTCGAATCCCAAAACAGTAAGCCAAAATACCAAGCAAGTGAGCAAAGCAATAACTAAATACAAGTCGGCTATAATTTTTTAGGATTTTAATTTAGTTCCTCAGGGATTTTAGTCAGATAGAAAGACAATCTAGTTAGCTGTAAAAATATTCTAGTCAATTAAGATAGCAAAATAGCTGACTAATTTCCATGAAACATGAGTTAGTATCATGATGCATTTTTCCAGTCAACTAGCCAACGAAAAGTGAATCTTTAGTCAGCTAGAATTCTCTGAATTTGAAGATTTCAGACATTGGTTCTTCAAAGTTCAAGTTTGTGCCACCAGTATACTTCCTTTGTTTTAAAATATCTATCAAATAAGATAATTTCACAAGAATTAAGAAAGCTACCAAATAACCTCAATTATGAGAAAATCTAAATACATTAAACTGAATTACCCTCTGTTATTCCATTTAGTAAAAATACTAAAAGTCAAGGATTAAAAACGGGCAGGCAGTTGGTATAAAACTAAGCTCCCGCTATGTGCAGGGTACGGGAAAGGTCAGACCCATTGCTTGGGTCTATAGTAAGCACGCAGTCTTACCTTACATTTACAAGAGACTAATTCTATGAATCGAACCTGTGTGTGTGTAACCTCCAGGTCACACATGGTGACAACACCAACTACTGTGTCAAGGTTCCCCTTCTTGATTTTCTTATGTTACATATAAAATGAAACAAAACTCATTATCTAAAAGGACAAATATTTTAAGAAGGAAGGAGTACTATCATTCTAAAACACATAAACTTGTGTCAAATGTTCAGAGTATCCTCAGAACAAAACTTCTTCATCATAGCAACCAGTTTAGCTGAAACTTAAAAAAAACCAGATTAGGGAGGAATCAATTTACACCTATGTAAAAATTAGGACTCTATTACAGTATTATTAACCGTGTATTTTATTTGCAAATCATTTAACTGTTCACCTGAAATAAAATCAAGGGTTATATTCTCACATTAGTGTAATTTTTGGTCCCTCCCCACTTTAATTTTATAATTCTCTCTATTAATTCACATAGGTGAATTTACACTAAGAAATTATTTCACATTCAACCACCCTACTTAGCTATGCACTATTCTCTTTGGCTTATTATTTGATTTACATATGCAGAGAAACATAGCTTGCCTAACCTAATTCCAAACAGAGATAAGAGAAAACAAAAACAAGAGGTCATTGACCAAACAGGGGACAACAAAAGAGAAAAGAAAGATTCAATGAAATTCAGATGCGAATGGTAAGAAAATTGGAGTGTGACCTTTCGGCGAAGTAAGCATCGGCTTCGGATTCGTATGAACACATAAACGAATACACGAGGGGTTATCACTTACCAGATTTCCTTTTAGGTGGACGAAAATAAACAACTACCAATCAAATGAATTTTCTTATGGAAAAACTATTATTGACTTATTGTCAAATGTCAATAATAATAATTTACAATTTTTTTTATTTTTATTTTTATAATTCTTACAACTTCAATTATATATTTCATTTTTGTTGAGTATAAATACTTGAGAGTATATTTTTCAAAATATATAATTGAGGTTGTAAGAATTATAAATTTAACCTATTCTTAATAATAATTATTATTATTATTATTAAATTGAGATTGGTTATTGTTTGGAAAAGTTGGGTTGAATAAGCCATTATTTGTTTCAGAATCCTTAATAATGTTTTTTTTTGTGTGTGTAGATGTTTACTTTATTTTTTTATTCCATATTTTAATGACTTTAATTATTTCTTTGGAGGCACGCTCATGGGCTTTTTGACCCTTTTGCCCCTCATTAATTAATTAATAACCAATTTTCCCCTGATCAAGAACTATCCACCAACCTGCCCCCTTTTAGTCGAGTACCTTGCTGTTTTAGTCGAGCAAATGGTCAATCTTCAGAAAGTGGACTACCGCAAATTTAGTCGACTAAAAAATTATCTTAATCGACTACATTTTTGGGATATTTAGTCGACTAAATATCGACGGATTTGTTTTTTAAAAACCCCCCATTCGGCAGAGGGGGAGTAGGATGACCTAATCGACTAAGGAGGCGGCCCAAACCCCAAATCCGCAGGAGCAGCTGAAGAACGCCCCAAACCCTTCCTTTAGGCGTGTGGATTGCCCCCAAATTTGGTCCAAATCGTGAAATCTGAAGGATAGGTAAGGTTTCTTAACTTGCATTGTGTTTTAGGTTTAGGAATTTTTTGTATTTGTTTGTTGTCCGAATTTGTGAACTCTAATCAAAGCGTTTGTTGTAGGTTTTGTAACCCTAATCTACTAAGGTTTATTTTTTTGCATTGTGTGAATTTTTTTGTTTGAAAAGTTTGTATGGGGCAAAAGTTTGCTTTTGGTTTACAGCGCTTATGTTGCAAGTTTTCATTACCATCATGACATGTTTCATATAGTTAAATGCTGACATGTTTCATTGTAGGTACCCTAAACAAATGACGAGTCGCAGAAGACCAAGCGATGAGGGCAATGAGTCACTTGAGAGACGCACCAAGCATAGGCAAGAGCGGCCTTCTTCGTCAAGGCGACAAGACGAAGAGCCTGATACTGTTGACCTCCCGTATGGGTATCTGTTTGAGGACGACCCTGCCGTCCACGCTTCATTCGTACGTGACCATTTGAACCGGCCGTTATGTGCTCCAAAATCTTTGGATACAGCCTTTTTTGATAAGGAGGGATTTGAAATTGTGGGGGTGTTGGAGGCGGCACATCTGAGGGTGTTGGCCAAGACCCTATGTCCGTATTCAGAGCTTATGGTGCGGGCCTTCTACCATAACCTCAGCTACGTACAGGGCGAGCTGAGGTCGAGGGTCTGTGGAATAGAGATCATCATGACGGCACCTGCATGGTTGGAGATACTCGGCTATGATTTTGACTCTTCTCAGACTGTGGTGTATGACGCTGATAGTGGTGTAGTACTTCCAGGATATGTACGAGAGGATGCCGTGCAGGAGCAGAGAAGAGTCCGTGGGGAACACTTGCACTATACGGTGGGGTTGCTTTCTGTGGAGTCCCGTATACTACACTATGTCCTCACCCACGTTCTGTTTCCGCGATCTTTTAATCATTCCAGGGTGTTGGAACATGACATTCCCATTATGTGGGCTATCCGACATGCCCAGATGGTGAACTGGAGGCACTATATCTGTTGGTTTATGTTTAAGGCCAAACATAAGGGTCATCTTCCATACGCCTGTCTGGTACAGAGGATATTGGTTCACTTTGGTGTTCCCATGGAGACTGAGCTGTTGAAGAAGACCACGGGCTATAATTGCAAGTTCGGAAAGCGTCTATTGGAGCAGTGCAAGATTACTAAGAACACGAGATCGGGTGTGTGGGAGTTTAGTGGTATGCCCCAGGTTGAGGTTCCTTATGTTGCCCCAGATGACCATATTGTTGAGCCAGATGTGAAGGAGGAGGAGGAGGAGGAGGATGTGGCTGAGGTTGAGGAGATAGCTGAACCTGAAGGTGGATTTTCACTGCGTGATGTCATGAAGGGCATAAATGCAATGACAAAGAAGATAGGAAAGATGGCGCTGGCACATAAAAAATGGAGAAAGAAAGGGAATGAAAGGTTTAGACACATACAAGGAAGGTTTAAGGGTGTGGAAGACAGGCTTGCTCGTCTGGAGCTTGCAAGAGGTGGTCAGGTAGCTGAGGCAGCAAGGGATGTGGGTCATGTGTCAGATGAGGACGACTCGGAGACGGACACAGACGGGGATGACGAGTAGATTTAGGGTGTACATCATGTTATTGTGTTTTGTTCATGTATTTCCTTTAAGTCGTTGATGTAATGTAACTTTTTTTAATGAATGCAGAATTGTTATGTTTTTTGGATCTATGTTATGTTGTGTAATGAATTTAATCCCATTTCAATATTGTATAACTTATGAATGGAACCTTTTTAGCAATTTGATCATCACGGCACAAAACAATATTGAACAGGTCACATTCGTCCATAACACATCACAGCAAATCAGTACATGTGTTCAAAAAGGCTACATCTTGTATTGTTAACCGTAAACAAACGTTATGACAACATACGACTTGGTTTTAGGAATTTAATGTCCACATGGGTTTTTTGACTCGGAAATTATGCTCCCTAAGTCACACTCCCTTAGTGGATCAGTGTAGAGTGGAAACCTAGGGCAAAAAACATGTGTAATTCGGATTTGGGTCTTCCTTGTGCACGTACCAAAGATGCATTTGGGATAATGGTTGGGCCATCAATTTGTGGAATCAACAACTCATTGCCCATTGGATACCAATGAGCAGCATATACCTTATCAATTTGTGCAATTGAGAACACAGGATCAACATAATCATAGTGGTTCAACTTTTCTACCTTGCACACCGCTAAGACATGACTGCAAGGGAATCTTCTAGATGTGAACCGTCCACATTGACATTTGCGATTGAGCAAGTCCACCCTCATTATGTCACCTGCATCATGAGTTGATTGATTATAGGCATCCTCAACTTCAAATAGCTGCAGGTCCCTATCAAAAACCCGCACACGGAGGCTCACTGTTAATTGATCATTTTTTTGGATGATATCCTCAACTTTTTTTGCAATTCTCCAACCCTTTGCCTTTGCCTTTTGGATCTTTTCACGTCTCTTGACGAAATACTCAACAAGTCTACTTTGAGTCATCTTCACCAATGCTGTTATAGGCAAATTACGTGCACCCCTCAGGACCTTATTCACACACTCAGATAAGTTAGTCGTCATGTGACCAAACCTCCGACCGTCCTCATCGTAAGACCTGCACCATTTTTCTTTGGGAATCTGATCTATCCATGAAGCTACTTGAGGGTTACTGTCGATAAAATCCTGGAATCTGATATCAAAATGAATCTTTGAACTCAAGTACCCTGAAATACAAAATGATGCGTTAGATACAAAAGGATGAATTATATACAATTTGTACATATTAAAAAGAAGATTGTACCTAGCTTCATCAGGGTTTTCTTTAATTCCACATCTCTAAACTTAGTGTTAAAGTTGCTTCCGATGTGGCGTAGACAAAACACATGATACGCAAATGGTGGCTGCCAACCGGCATGATCTCTTACAGCCTTGATGATGCTGGGATGACGATCGGATATTAGACAAATGCCATGCTTATGCGTGACGTGAAAACGCATGAGGCTAAGAAACCACGACCAATCATCCAATCTCTCACCAGGAGGAACAATAGCAAATGCAATAGGGAGAATGTAACCATCTCCATCTTGTGAAGTTGCAATCAAAAGAGTTCCTTTGTATTTACCGTACAAATGCGTGCCATCAATTTGGATTATGGGTTTACAATATTTGAAGGCCTCAATGCACTGGTGAAAGGTCCAAAATACTCGGTGAAAGACAGCCTTATCCGTATACACTCGACGTTCATCAACACATTGGTCTGTATCAATCTTGAACACAGAACCCACATTAACCTGCGTCATGTATGTCAGCCAACCAGGCAAGAATGCATACGATTTATCCCAGTCGCCAAATAACTTGACAATGGCTTTCATTTTAGCCTTCCAAGCTTTCCTGTAAGATATGTTGTATCCATACAAACGTTGTACCCTCTCTTGAATAAGAACTGGCTTCAATGATGGATCTTCTTTTAACATACCTATATAAAAAAAACACCGGCCAACAGTCAGAATACAAACTGATTAACGTTAACATACCTTAGGAAGTTAGATATATCGAATAATACATACTGATAATGGTTGCACATATCACATCAGAATCCAACTGTCTGATCATCTCGGGTAAGACCTTGGTTTAGGCAGGTGTGTTCTTTAACCCATTTACTAACCACCCAAGTATTTCCATTCTTCGGCAACAATGCCCTC